CCTTCCCCGGGGAAGGTGCGGACACACAGGGGACCCTTCTCCCGCCCCCGCCGAGGCTACCTGCAGGTCCCCGCCCGCCGACTCCAGGAAGAAGCGCGCCCGCTCCTCCTCGGCCCCGGTCACGGCCACGAACTCCCTCAACGCCTCCTCGCGATCCGCCATCTTGCCCGGTGCAACCGTCAAAGCGCTCCGCCCGCGCCGCTCCAGCCGCCAAGCGCCGTTCGCTGCTTCCGCCCGCCCGTGAAGGCCGCTTCCGCCCCTCGAGCCCTTCCTTGTGGCTCACTCAAGCCCCTCCGGGTCGAAACAAAAGCCTTGCGCGTAGCTACCGGCCGGGGGAATAAATCGGAGGCTGTGGGATTGGGGAGGTAGATATGTCGGTACTCAGATTGGGCCGCCTTAATCTCTGCTGTCTGTCTGGGAAGTCAAGGAGTTTTATTCCCTGCAGATTTGGAAAGTGGCATCTTGAGAAGCATTGAGCTAGATATAAAATGTGCACCCACAGCTAAGAGAAGCATCATTTTTGCAATGAACTGAGCATTTCTGTTCACATGACCCACTGAATCACAAATGAAGGGGCTAGCTGGGTCAGCATGTTGCGCAATCACAGCCTAGGCGTGCTCATGCAGACATTGTCTCTTGCTGCGTTCTCATGTTCTGCTTCATGTGATTTGTTTGGTTTGGATTTAGCTACTTGTGTTATCAGTTTATTCTTCATGGATTGACTAATTGATTGATCACTTGATTGATTATGTGCCATCAAGTTGGTGTCAACTCTTAATGACCACATAGATAGATTTTCCACATGATAATCTGTCCCTAATCTGGTCCTTCAGCTCTTCCAACCTTGCTCCCATTGCCACTGTAACTGAGTCCATCCACCTTGCTGCTGGTTGTCCTCTTTCCTTCCACTTTTCCCAGCATTATGGACTTCTCAAAGGAACTTGGTCTTGACACTGATTATGTGCCATCAAATCACTGTTGACTCTTAGTGACCACATAGACCTTCTCCAATCCCCAACCTGGCCCTTCACGTCTTCCAACAGTGCCCCCATCGCACATGGACCCCCAACAGTGAGTCCATCCCCCTTGCTGCTGGTCTTCCTCTTCTTCTCTTTCCTTCCACCTTTCCCAGCATCAGAGCCTCCTCCAGAGAGCTGGGTCTTCGCATAACGTGTCCAAAGTAGGATAATTTGAGCCTGGTCAGTTGTGCCTCGAGGGAGAATTCTGGATTGATTTGTTCAATAACCCATTTGTTGGTTTTGTTGGCTGTCCATAGTATTCTCAAGCATCTTCTCCAAGCATCAATATTTTCCTATCCTCCTTCTTCAGAGTCCAACTTTTGGTTCTATAGAGTGTCAACTAAAGGGTTACTTCCATTTAATTGAATTCAAATATCTATATACTGCTGAATATATACATAGTACATCTGTATTAGTACTATTAAACCTAAATTTATGAAAATTTTATACAAGGTTGTATGGTGTTTTGTATTCCAGTGGTATATCCTAGTAAATCCTATTTTTCAGAGTACATATCTTTGTATCATTTTAATAGGTTTAAACAAGAAAACCTGTGCAAACATATACATGGGAGAAGGAAGCACCAGGTACACCCCCTCCAGCTCATGAATGAAAGGTGGGGCAGAAATCTAATAAATAATCTGCATCCGTTTGATATACAAGATCTTGGAGATGTGTGAAATGTAACACGCTGCCCTGAAAAAATTGATAATTGATTCTAAAATTAGTTCCTGTAAAATGTGGTCTCCTAGGCATCAAAGAACTTCTCTTTTCAAAAACGCATTCCCCAGACACTGCCATCACTTCTCTCCTTTCATTATCTCCCCCACCAGAGAAGGATCTTGGAATATTTTTGTTTTGAAATAGTGTTTATTCTTATTTGGACTTATTTATATTGCTTGAAAGTTGCTTCAGGTGGAGTTTCTTCCTGAAAAGTGAAATATAAACAATTGTAATACATAAATATTTGTTTTCATCTTCCAGTTGTGCAGGTACATTCACTCAGTCACTTTACATCTGGAAGGGCTGTTTTAATTGTAATCTGCCTTGAATGTTCTTTCTGAACAAACAGGCAGCATGTCAATCTCATAAAGAAAAGGTGCCTTCTGCATTGTCGACTTTTCAAGCAGGCACTCCGAACTAAAGCAGAGGCCGAGTCTATATTCCTATCTCTATGTTTTTGGTTTTTCATCCCTCAAGCTCCGCCTGCGCATCACTCTATCCTTTTCCATCTTCCTAGGGAAGTCCCGCCTTTATTCATCGCAAGAGGTGGGAGGGCCGGCGCATGCGCCCCGAGGGCGTGCGATCGGCTGTTTACGCCTCCGCAGCGTGTGCCGCCGGCGGTTGGTGGCGGTAGCGGTGACGTAAGCGGAAGGCGGGACCAAGTGGGTGGAAGGGGAAAAGGGAAGACACGGAGTCCGGCAGGCCGCCGGGATGATCCTCTGCGGTGGCCGGAGACCATGGCCCAGCCGAGGCCGCCACGGCTGCATGACAACGGGGGACGAGGTACGTAGGCTGGCGCTTGCTCCGGAGCTGGGCCGCCCGCCGGCTCACGATCTCAAGGGAGGGCGAGGCCTTCGCTGAGGTAACTTGATGCTGTGAGGAGAGAAAGGGGGCGTGGTCCTGGAGGACCCGCCCGCTCCTCCTCTGACGGAGCAGCAGGAGCCAATCGGAAGCGGCGGCTCCGCGAGGAGGCGGGCAATGAGGGACTTATTTGCCCCCTCCTTTTCCCAAGACTCAGAGGCAGCCCCGGGGAGGACGGCCGGGCAGGCAGAAGTTCAACCGGGCAAGCCTTTCGGCTGTTAAAGCCTCTGCTTCCCGCAGGGCGTGGTTACCAGATGGCTTCTCTCGCACGCCTTGTTGAGAGGGGGAAGGAGGCCGCTGCCCCCTCCTGTTGGGCCCCCCCGCCCCGCTGCCCAGAACGTGGGGCAGAGGCAGCTGCCGTCCTTCCGTTCCTTTGAACAGTGAAGAATCTGCTCCCCTGCGGCCCGGTGCTGCAGGTGGCAGCGCGGCCTGCCAGCCTGGCGCGCAGACATCGCGGGGGACCCTCAAGGGCGGGAGCGGAGCGGGCGGGGAAGCGCCGGCGCTCTTCCTCCCGGCCACCGCCCGGCGCCCGCAGGCCC